GATCAGTGAGGATGACCACCCATCGTTGGTGACCGACGCCCGCACTCATTGATGAACTTTAGACTTCGCTAATGCTTTCGTTTCCCCGGGTGTAAATAGCCGGGGGGAATTAGTACCCTCGCACGGTGCTTCGCGCCGCCGGCTCAGGGATTAATTTAAACCAGAACTTGGCATACAAATAAGCGAAAGCACTCACAATGAGAGCGACTCAGAAGAACAAAGTCGACGGGAGTGAGTTGTCTGATGAGCAAGCCTACTATTTGGAAACGTTTGTGGGCGGTTTCATGATATATTTTTAAGTAGTAGTACTAGTCTTAATCATCACAAATTTATTTTCACATAAATTAGCATAGGGGTTTTTTCAAGACAACAGATGACTGTCGAACGTTTTATAATATTTCTGAGGAACTAAACACAATGAATGCACAAGTCAAAATATAAATTAAGTATTACATAGGTATGTTTAATATATATCAAGAATAAAAAAAAATTATTGCCAATGTCCTTTAATGTATCATTTCAGACATAGTGGACGAAGTGTATTTTTGGGCCACAATGTTGAATGGTTGTGTAAATAAGACATTGCGTCATCCGAACTGTGACGTAACAGCTTACTAATTTGAGTCTAAATATTACAGGAACTGAGCAAGATACTGTATGAAAAATCGGTAATAGACTTAATGGACCATTTGCATTATACACCAAATTTTGATCTTGACAAAAATTTCATCACAGCTTGAAAGAGCATCACAAAATTAGTAATATTCCAAAGTTTTGTTGCGAAATGTTGTAAAATGCGGATAATATAGCCTTGCGAAGTTTGCCATTTTTCAGTCATTTTGTATTACGCACGGGAAATTGACAGCTCAATTGGGTGTTGGGGCATCAATTTCCCGTTTGTAATACAAAATGACTGAAAATGGCAAATTTTGCAAGGCTATATTATCCGCATTTTACAACATTTCGCAACGAAACTTTGGAATATTACTAATTTTGTGATGCTCTTTCAAGCTGTGATGAAATTTTTGTCTAGACCAAAATTTTATCTATAATGCAAATGGTCCATTTACAGTATAGTTTCAGGAATTCTTTTCAATAAGCCAAACTAAATTTTTACTTCCAATGCCCTTTAAGTTTAATAGTCATTCACAAAATGTGTGAAACGTTTTATAATGTTGACTAATATGCATGCTAAATGACAAATCGGCCGAAATACAACAGTGGATATTCCTACAAATACTATTAATTAGAGCATGCAGTTATAAATCTTATTTGCTATACCTCAATAATGTGGAAAACTTCATTTGCTTTCAGTTGCTTGGAAGATATTTTTGGTTTGGGTTTGAAAATGCTGTTAATCCCTTTCACGAAGTTAATAACATTGCCATCTAGAACAAATAAACATAAAACCATGCCAATAGATCATTGGTTCTACATGGATGGGCTGTGCATGCTTAGTATACTGATATCTGTATGGAATGTGCAAACTAATTTGAGATACCACAAATATTGACAAGGTTGATACTCATCGGAGATCCAAGGATTACTTGACCTATTACCATTTGCGAGCTACATGTACAGTTCAGTGCAAGTTTGAAAATGTGTTTGTTCATGTTTCAAACGTTGACGTTTTGAATCAAACATAACGTTTGACTGCGAAAAAAATCCATGTTTGGCTAAATATAGCCCTGATACTGTATAATCAAACATGGATTGTTTTGCAGTCAAACATGCACGTTTGTGGTTCAAAATAGTCAACGTTTGAAATGCAAACAACAAGCTTTTAAACTTGCACTGAACGGTAGCTCGCAAATGGTAATAAGTATCTGTCACACCCTATTACGCAAAGAATACAGCTTGACACAAAACCTGTCAAAATCATATAGCTCCTGTTCGATCATCTGGTGGCCTGGAAATCTGATTAGTTGATTAGCTACAGTGTGAATGAAAAGTTTGTTTAAAAATTGCTTAATTAAGAAAGAGCTTAGAATAGCTTGTGCAAGATGATAAAGTCATATTTAAATTCAGGTTTTAACAAATTTATATATTTCCGTGCTAGTATATGGTCAAATGGGTGCAAGAAGGGTGCATATTTTTCGTTATCAGTTCAAAATTGAGTGCATCATGTAAGGCAGTTAGTTCTCAATTATAAATCATTTGGCCGGCCTTGGAACCACGTCCCAAAGCTGGTGCCCAGCAGCCTCCACCCCCCCACGCAGGATCTACCAGGGTTCGAAATAGCTGCCAGCTTCTGGCGATAGCCGGCAGTTTTTACGACCTTGCCGGCAGTTTTAGGACTATGCATCTGTCTCGGTGTGGTGTTTAGACAATGGTTTAGACAAGTACTGTGTCAAGCACAAATTCTCTTCATATTAGGCGTTGATACTCAGGTTAAGAATTACTGTAGATCCCAAAGTATGTTAAAGAATCAAGCTTTGCCAAAAGATTATCTACACATCTCATCATAAACGACTCTTGGTCTTTTTCTACTGGTAGTAATGAACTTCTTCTAACTTCCTCTACTACCTTAAAACAATTATTATACAACAATAATTAGACAAATACAATCTGAAGATAAATATTAATGCCCAGCATAAAATATGTAAAAGAGCCATAAAATACAGTTTAAAATATTTATTAGAAAGCTAATGTTTCGTCTTTAACTTAAGACATCTTCAGAGCAATGACATACAAAGCGGAAAACACAGAAATATGAATAAATTACAACTATTTACAAGATGTTTGTGTGATGTTACTCTGAGTGTATATCCACACCGGGCAGGCTTGAAAAATATGCCTGGCCATGGCGGGATTCAAACCTACAACCTTTGGAACACTAGCCCAATGCTCTTCCAACTGAGAGTCTGGGGTCAGGACTTTTCGAGTATGCGATATTTCGGAACTGAGTCTAGTTCCAAGAGTGCTTTACTAAGGCTTTCATTCAAATCTACTGCCTTGTTATTTAAATCGTCACTTCTGGGGAGAAGGGAAGAGATAGAATTACCCGACATTCTGGATATTTGGTGTGAATGAGTTCCACAATGTCCATTGCTTTTTTCATCAGGGATTCGGTTGTGGATGGTTGTTCCAAATCATTGGTTCCGGTGTGAATAATAAATCTGCTGTGTTGGTATATCGAAGGAACTAGACTCAGTTCCGAAATATCGCATACTCGAACCGTCCTGACCACGTAGCTCAGTTGGAAGAGAATGGCATTGGGCTAGTGTTCCAAAGGTCGTAGGTTCGAATCCCGCCATGGCCAGGCATATTTTTCAAGCCTGCCCGGTGTGGATATACACTCAGAGTAACATCACACAAACATCTAATGGTTAACTTTATTATAGTACGAGCAAAAAGGAAAGCTATCTGGATCTGAGCGAAACAAGAGATGGCGCGAAAAAAAAGGCAGTGATTTCAAGAAAGTAGAGAGTGCCAGAGTAGAAAAAATAAGAAAGAATAGAATTGCCCAAATGTCACCAACTGAACTTAACAAATATAAGATGGCAGCTTGTGAACGGAAGAGAAAAAGCCGAATGTTGAAAAAACAGAAAGAAATGGAAAATGCAGGCAGTTCATCAACAGAAACTGTGGGCAGTTCTTCAATGCCAACGGAAACTAATAATACGAGCCCATCAAACTATCAGCCATTCAAGAGACCGCAGTCACTTGGCAAAGCTATCAAAAGGTCAATTCGATCTTTGCCACAGTCACCTAGAAAGAGACAAGCTGTTGTCAGTGGCCTAGCGAAACGTTTTGGTGTGGATTTGGAAAAAGAGATGGAAGCATCATTGTCAACAACAAGTGGGAACAATGGTCTTGCAGAAGAAGTACAAAATGCAGTC